AATTTTAATATAACAGTTAATATTTAATTTTTAAAACTTTTAAAATGATGACATGACATAATGAGAATCAAATATTTATCAAATGGTGAATTGTGGTTGAGTTTGAGATATCCCACATTGCTGAAGAGTTGAAAGATTTGAACATATATATTATAGTAAATAAAGTATAGTATTCAATATTTGTCTCAATATAAATATCGAAACCATGGATTTATAATAATATTTTATATAAAAAATAATTTATTATGTTTATATATCTTGAAGATATAAAATAGATATTCAGAAAATATTAAAAATTAAGAACAATTTGCAATTGAAGAGATATAATCCTTAAGTGGAAAGGAAGAAATTTATGACTTTGGGTTTTCTGAAAAATGTTTTTACCTCTTTTTGATATTTTTGGGAATTTTTCAGATTTAATGGTAACCATATTTAAATTCAAAAGATTTAAGTTAATAGAAAAACGTGGTAAATCTGTAGACAGGTCTGATCAAACTGTTGCGAACTTCTATGGTCGGATTTTTTTTTGTTGTGTTTGATTGCAAGTTTTAACTCAATAACTTTCCAACTCAATAAATTGTATAGAGTTTTGAAAATAAATAAATGGAAAAAGAGAAGTAAACAACCTGAATGGAAGAGGTAGGTTAGGAAGCAAGTGCGGTTTCCTGAGATCAGTAGGAAGGGTGATCAAGAAAAATATGTCAGCCCAATCAAGCTTTTGCTCATCTGACACAACGAACGCTTGCCCAAATCCTTCAACATCTCCGGCTTGTTGCCAATACTTTTTCTTCTCTTCCATCGGCATATTGAAGAATTCTTGTGTTTCTTGCTTCACTTTCTCGAGAAGGGAACAACTCACGCCATGATTTATCAACTGTGATATTCAAATGATGAACAAAATTTCTTATATTGCATATATATCCGTAAAAACAAACCATAAAAATACCTGAAAGAAACCCCAATCTTTACAAGCAAGGTGCAGCTTTTCTAGTTCATAATCTTTTGAATCGGTGGATGATAGATTCTCCATATTGATGATGGGTACTTGTGGCAATGATGATACGACTGAAGCATCTTGATTTGCACGTATATATCGATGTGGAACCTCTGTTAACGATTCCTTAGCCAGTTCTTGTACGCTAGGAATCAAGAGTGAACGCCCAAGGTTTATTCCCTTTGGATCCATGATGTAGCTCCCTTTTATGTTATGTTTTATGATTGTATACATATATATATATATATATATATATATTCATGTTTTAATTGATATAAATACTTCATATGGTCCAAAAGTAGGTGAAAAATATTATTTGTATTGTTGAAATAGGTGAAATGGGATAGTACACTCATTTATATTATTTTATTATTCAATGACACACCGATACGACACCGACAACCATAACTTTGAAAAAATTATTGAGTCTTAAATTATATATTAAAAAATAGTCATTCAAATCTATATATATATATATATATATATATATATTAAAAAATAGTCATTCAAATCTATATATATATATATATATATATATATATATATTAAAACAAGAACCAAGGTTGATGACATGGTACAATAAGAATTAAGTATTTATTAAATGGTGAATTGTGATAAATTCTTAATTGTATCACATTGGAAATAAAAGTGAAAAATTAGAAGTATAAGTGACTATATAAAGGATAAGATATAGTTTGAATGTATATCCAAATTTTGGGTTAAATAGTTATTTTTTATTTACATTAAAAAATATTTCATGTATAGTTAAAAATTTTAATATAACAGTTAATATTTAATTTTTAAAACTTTTAAAATGATGACATGACATAATGAGAATCAAATATTTATCAAATGGTGAATTGTGTTCTTGATTGTCACAATGATAACAAAAGTGAAAAACTAGAATAAATATATCAATCATCAATATTTATATATATATATATATATATATAGAGAGAGAGAGAGAGAGAGATAGAGGAAAACTTTAAGATGGTGACATGCACAATGAGAATCAAGTATTCATCAAATGATGAATTCTTGATTCTCATGCATTGATAACAAAAATGAAAAACCTTAAGATGATGACATGATACAATGAGAATCAAATATTTAACACATGGTGAATTATGATAAATTCTTGATTGTCCCACATTGGTGAAAAAAAGTGAAAAGTTAAAAGTACAAGTGATTATATAAAAGATAATATATAGTTGGAATGTATTTCTAAATTTTGATCCAATTTTAAGTTAAGTAATTTTTTATTTACATAACCAAGCATTTCATGTAATAGTTAAATAATTAATATAATAGTTACACATTTATGGAATTTTAGTTGTACCAAATTGATGAAAAGTTGAAAGATTTGAACAAAGTAAAGTGCATAAAAAAGTGGATCCGGATACCTTTGTGTTAAATCATGGGGTTTGACTTATAATGTTGTCTTAATTCGAATGACACTTTTTGAAATCTCTAACCATGGTTGGAATCAAAACCAACCAAATGGTAAAATTATGGTTCAAATATAAAAATGAAACCAAGGATGCTAATTTAACAACATGAGGTTTGAGTGTTCTTCAAATTTGAAATAAAGTTGACTTTCACCATCTCATAGTGGTAGAAAGATGATTGATGTATAAAAGTGTGATGGAGATTTGAAATCTATAACCATGGTAGAAATAAAAACTAACTAATTAGTAAAAACATTTGTGTAAAACAAATGCAAATGATATTTTTTTTCTTAACAAGAGTTGTGATTACTGTAGTACTTATAGTAACAAATATAGTTTAAGTGACTACTATATCACTTATATATACATAGAATGAAAATGTTGACTTAATGACGTACTTCCATCTGATGTTAGTATTCTCAATGTGATTTACGGTGTTGGACGGGACGTTATAAATATAAATACGATCCTGAGTTTTTAGACAAATCGCACTTCCACTCAGGTCGAAGCTTTTACATTTTTTCTTAAATTGAGTTTTGATCACGGTACAATTCGCAGTGTCGAATACTAGTTTTGATTAATGCTACACCCAATTTAATGCTAATTTATTTTTTTTCCTTTTTATCTCTAGAATTAGGGATGACAAAAACCGTACTCAAATGAGAAATCTGAAACCCAAACCCGCTTTGACCATGGATGGGAAACCCAATAAATATATATAACATCTATATTCGATAAATATAATCTAAATTCCATGGATTAAACTTGCTAAAAGAATTACATTATCAATGTGATTGTTTGTGGGGGAAGTTTTGGTGATAACTAGATAGTACAAAATTTTAGTTATTAAACATTGTAATTGATATATATATATATATATATATATATATATATATATATATATATATATATATATATGT